CCTCCCCGCTCCCTCCCATCCTTCCTGCTGCCTTGCCCCTGCCTGTCCCTGCCTGCCGCATGCCACACACACTATATAGCTCCCCGTGGGCCCATGGCTCCCGCCTGCTTGCCCTGTCTCTGCCTGCCCGCCCTCCGGCCGGCGCCCGCGCCCGCCCCGTCCCGCTGACGGCAAGGCCCCCGGCCTCCCTGCCCCGCCCTCCCCACGCCGGCCTGCAGACGGCAGCAGCGCCCCCGAGTGGCAGCAGGAGGAGGATGTGCCGGCGGCGCTGCTGGGCAGGCACCTCACAGCGCTGGCTCTCAGCGCAGAGGAGGAGGGAGAGCCAGCCATCTACGTCTGGTCAGGCGGCGGCGGCGGCGGCAGCAGCATCGGCAGCAGCGAGGCGGCCTGCTATGGCGGCGGCGGCGGCGGCGGCGCGGACGGCGGCGGCGGCGCGCCGCGCGCGGTGCAGCTGTGGTCGTACGCGGCCAGCAGCGGCTGGCAGCGGCGCGGGTGCGTGGGGCGGGGCGGGCGGCGGAGGCTGTTGCCGAGTGCCTGCTGCTGCTGCTGCCGCCGCTGCGGGTGGCCTGCGTGGCGGGCTGCGTCCCCGCGCCGCTTCTCCCCTCAGCTTTGGCCCAGGCTTGCCAGCCCCTGCGCGGACCTCGCTGCGCCGACCTCTGCACCCACCTCTGCGCCCTTGCCTCTTCCCCCCCGCAGGCTGCTGCCCCAGCCGCTGGGCGACGACGTGCAGTGCGCGGTGGCGGCTACCCCGCACCAGCTCCTGGCCGTGGGCGCCGTGGAGCGCTCGGGCCTCTTCTCGCGGCAGCGCGGCGTGTGGGAGTACGACGCCCGGCAGGGCGGGCGGTGGACGCGCGCAGGGTGAGGCGGCGGGGGTGCCGGGGAGACGGGGGGGGGGAGGCCGGGGCGGGCGGCCGGGGTGGCTGCCGGGGCTGCACGCTGCGCTGCACGCTGCGCCTGCCGGCAAGCCAGCCGCGGCTCCCCGCCTGCGCCTGCGGCTGCGCCGGCGAGCGAGCGGCAGCGGCCGTGGTTTGGGGCTTGTGGGCAGTCAGCGCTGGCTTTCTGTGGGCTGGCCCCGCTCCCCGCTCCGCGCTGCGGGCGGGAGGCGCCTCCTCGCCTCGCCGCTCATGCGCTGCCGCTTGCTGCCCTGCTCGCTGCGCCCCTCTGCTGCAGGTGGGCCCCCGTTGAGTTCAGCGGCCACCTGTGCGCCATCCACCACGGCCGCCTATTTGTCAGCAGGGCGCTTCCGCCCGAGCCGCAGGCAGCAGCAGAGGAGGAGGAGGAGGAGGAGGGGGAGGGGCTAGATGAAGGGGAGTGGCCTGAGGTGGAGGGCGCGGCGGCGCTCGCCTGACCGCCGCGCCATTGCGCGGCCCGGCATTTGATCGGCCAACATTTGGCCCGCTGGTCAACTACAATACGCCCCGCCGGGTGTTTGAAGCACCGCCCACAGTTGGCAGGAGTGGTCCTTCAACACCGGCAGGCTCTCTCGGCACTGCTGTTCTTTCTTTTTCGCTTGCTGACCTCTCGCCCAGGACATGCCTACCTGCCTTCCTTCCGACTCCCACTTTCCATTCCACCCACAGTTTTCTTGCTCGCATGCTCGCAATTGGGGCCCATGTGGTGGCAACCGTGTAACTTACAGCGCTGGGTGAGGTGCGTGTGTGTGTGAGGTACACAGGTGTGTGCGCCAACGAGGCAAAGGACACAGGAGGCGGCAAGGCCCGTCACTCATCACTCTGTCCTTGCGGAAAAGAATCCCTGCTGGCGCTGCATCGGCGCCTGCGGGTGCTGGTGCTGGTGCGGCAGCAGCGGCGGCTGCAGCTGCGCCTGCTGCTGCTGGTGCTGCGCCAGCGCGGCCGCTGCCGCCACGGCGACTGCTGCCGACACCGCAGTAGACGGGGCATCTTGCAGGGTGTAGCTAGCAAACCTGCATTCAGGTAGCAGGCAGGAAGTCGAAAGAAGGGGGACAAAATGGCTGTTCAGCTGCAGCAGAGGCCACACCTCGCAAGGTTGAAAGGCAAGGTGTGCCGGCTGCCCTGCAGCCGCGCAGGCAGCCGCCCCACACCAGACAATCCGCGACACCCTGTGCGGCGCCAGCAAACAGGCAGGCCGAGGCACCCACCCGTCTGTCAGCCCGGTGCTGTGCTGCGCCCCCAAGGACGACAGGCTGTGCTGCGCGCCCAGAGAGGACAGGCTGTGCTGCGGTCCCAGTGCCGACAGGCTGTGCTGCGGGCCTAGCGCCGACAGGCTGTGCTGTGCTCCCAGTGCCGACAGGCTGTGCTGCCCGCCCAGCGACAGCGCCTCCTGGATCAGCAGCAGCTGCTGGTGCGTGCCGTCGCCGGCGCTGCTGCTGCTGTTGCCTGCCTCGGCGGCGGCGGCCACCTGGCCAAACGCCGAGAGCATGATGCTGCTGAGCGCTTGCTGCTGCGCCTGCGCCTGCTGCGCCTGCGCCTGCTGCTGGGCGTGCTGCTGCGCCTGCAGCTGGGAGTGCTGCTGCCCCTGGCCGGGGCGCTGCCCCGCCGCCTGCTGCTGCTGCTGGAGGGCTGCCAGCTGCGGCAGGCACTGCGCGGCCAGTGCAAGCGGGTCGCTCGGGGGGCTGCCGCTGCCAAAGATGGCGGCGCCCAGGCCTGGTGGCTGCAGTGGGGGCTGCTGCACCTGCTGCTCCTGCTGCTGCTGCTGCTGCTGCTGCTGCTGCTGCAGGTGCGGCGGGTGCTGCAAGCTGCTGGTACTGAGCGCCTGGTAGTGCTGCAGCTGCTGCGCATGCTGCAGCTGCGCCTGCTGCTGCTGCTGCGCCGGCGCTGCCGGCAGCAGCGAGCTGAGGGACAGCTCGCGCCGGTGCGCCGCCGCCGCCTGCTGCTCCGGCGCCTGCATGTGCTGCCGCTTGGCCACCGGCGCCTGGTCGTGCTGCTGCTGCACCTGTTGCTGCTGCTGCCCGCCCTGCTGCTGCTGCTGCTGCTGCTGCTGCAGCCCATCCTGCTGCTCCTCCTCCAGTAGCGCATCGCTGCAGCAGGCCGGCACAGGAGGCGGCGTCGACACTCGGGCACGGCATGCAGGCGCATGGGCAGGCGCGAGGCCGGGCGCCGTGCGCGGCGGCAGGCCGCCGCCCCACGTCGTTCGCCCCGCTCAGCAGCCACACCCGCTGTAACCCGGCTGCAGCAGCTGGCTACCGCTCCGCCAGGCTGGCCGCAGCTGCGTGCCCACCAGCCCACTCACACAGAATTGCACAATGTGAGATCCTGCTGAGATACCACACCAACAGCCACCACCACTGCCATCCGCCCCCCACACAGCACCACAGCCCGCGCCTCACCTCCACAGTGGGTCGAAGTCGGCTGGGTGGGGCACCTCCTCGGCCGAGGGCATGCCCGCCAGCGGCGGCGTGCCGCCCGCGCTGCTGCCATCCATCGACGTCCAGCGGCTGGCGCCCGCCGCAGCCGCCGTGGCCGCCGCCGCCACGCCCTGCAGCGCGCTGCGCAGCATGCCCGCCGGCAGCGCGCCGCGGGGCGCGCCGGCCGCGCCGCCGGCGGCCGGCGGCGCCGCGCCCGCGGCGCCCGTGCCGTCGCCGGCCGCGGCCGCGCCGCCGGCGTGCGCCAGCGCGAAGCCAGACAAGCTCATCGCCTGTTGCTGCTGCTGCTGCTGGCGCCACATGGGTCGCCAGCTGGTGCCCAGGCCCGCCGCCGCCGCCGCCTGCTGGCTGTAGGGGCTGAGCGGCGGCTGCTGCGCCTGCGCCTGCGCCTGCAGATGGGCGTGGTGCAGCTGCTGCTGCTGCTGCTGCTGCTGCTGCTGCTGCTGCTGCAGGGCTGCCTGGGCGGCTGCCAGGGCGGCGTGGTAGGTGCTGACGCTGCTGGGCTGGAAGCTGCTCGGGGAGAAGGGCTGCTGCTGCTGGCTGGCAGAGGTGGGGGTCTGCACGCACACACGCAAGGCGGCGGGGTGGAAAGGAAAGGGGACACACTGGTGGGCAACGCCAGACACCCATCCAGCAACCAGGCAGGGCCAAGATGAAACGGCGGCACACGCAAGACACACCAAGACACCCCCCTGGCAACCCTTCGGTCAACCCGGCAGGCAGGGCGCCAGCGGGGCGCCAGCGGGGCGCCAGCCGGGCGCCAGCCAGGCGGACGCACCTGCAGCAGCGGCATCACTCCGTGCAGGCTGTCCAGGCTCTGCTGCTGCGCCACAGGGGGAGGGGCGCGGCACGGGATGTGTGTGTGTGTGTGCGCGTGTGTGTGTGTCCAAAAGGGGTGGAAGTTCACTGCGCACTCCAGGGCAGGGAGGCAGCCCTGCCGGGAGGCAGCCCTGCCCCAACCCCAGCAGTCCGTGGCAGGGCACGTGGCAGCACTCGGCGCGAGCAGCCGGATGGGCACGAGGCCGCCCCGGCCGCCCTGGGGGCAGCCCTGGGGCCAGCCAGCGTGCGGCGCAGGGAGGAGGGAGGTGGGAGGTGGGAGGTGGGACCCACCTGCACCAGGCTGCCGCTGTAGTCGGCGTACCGCAGCTGCGTGTGGAAGGAGCGGCTGGGGGGGCTCAGCAGCGGCGCGTAGCTGCTGCTCAGGGACTGCGGGCGGGCGAGGGCAAGGAGAGGGAGAGGGGAGGCGGGCAGGGCAGGGCAGGGCAGGGCAGGGGAGGCTGCGTTGGCAGTGTAGCAGCCTGGGCATCAGGGAGCACGCAAGCAGCGGTGGCACAGCACAGGAAACCGTTGGCTGCCAGCTGGCAACAGTCCCAGCCCAGCGGCAGCGAGGACGGGAGGAGAAGGCCGGCCCGGGCGCCGCGTCCCACCTGCGCCACGGGTGTGGTCTGCATGGCGGCCGCGCCGTAGCTTCCGGCCAGCTGCCCGCCCATACCGCCTGCCGCGCCCGGGCCCACAATGTTTTGCAGGCTGTGCGCCACGTTGTACTGCTGGTAGGAGGAACCGTACCGCGCCTGCATGGCCGCTAGCGCCGCCGCGTGCGCCGCGGCCGCCGCCCAGGGGCTGGCGGCCGCCGCCACCGCCGCGGCGCCCGCCGCCGCCTGCTGCTCCGCGCCCGCCGCCTCCTGCTGCCGCGCCGCCGCCGAGGCCGCCGGTATCTGCATGCCCGGCGTGTGCTGCTGCGGCAGCGAGTGCGGTGGCTGGTGGTGGGG